CATGAAATGGACAATGATTCTTCGAATCAATATAACCATTACAACAAACACATTCGATAAGCATTTTTATGTAAATGACTGTAAGATTTTCTGCTACGATCAACTACTTCTGCCTTCATGATATACGTAAGCCGAAAGATAACTAGTATAATCCTTAGTCTGTATAGAACTAGAAATCTCACCTAAGTACGTTTTATCTTAATCTTGATTATCAATAATATGAGCATGCAATATTGAGTTTAAGATTCATAAGTTTGTTTATTGGAAATATACATATGGACAGGTAATAAGGAAGATGACAGACACAATACTGTACATGAAAGAGTAAGTTCAACGAGAAAAAGGTGGAAAAAACAAAAAAGCTATACATGAAACAGAGAGAAGAAGATAGTGAGACTGAACAAAAGTGTTACCATTTAGAATAAGAAAAAAGTCACTCAAGAAAAGTGGGGAAAAAACTATGTGCATATATCAGGAAAAAAGATAACCCCAGGCTACATGAAAGAGGACAATTGAAACAAATGAACAAAGGACTCTTTACTTAAAAGCTGGCGGCGACATAGTATCATCTGTCGACGCTAACAGTGACTCTTATTATAATCAGTAGAAAAGTAATTATTTTTCTTTCTTTTTCTCATTCTCTCTATAGAACGGCAATGTTCACGCATGTTGTTTGTTTATTCATAGATATTACGCAAACAATTTCTTACACTAACACTACACTCACTCTTCTATTATCAGTCATCGAAAGCAGAGCTTTGAAACATTCCGTGTCCTATAATCAGTTTAAGTGATGAGTAGATTTCAAAGATACATTATTGGTATCTATGACCTTTCTGGAATCAAAGTTTACATTGAACCGTACTTCCCTATGCAATACACACAACACAGTTGTTTTGCAGCCACTTATTCGAGCACTTTTGTAGCTCTTATTGATTAGTATTGATATTGAAAAAATGGCTCCCGTTCTAAATCATATAGTGAAGATTGAAGGTACACAAGGTTCTAGCAAAGCCTGTATATGATCACATATTAAGAGTATTCGCAAGTTTTTGTAGTTAATCTTTGGTTTTTACTCGAATATATCTATACAATTTTTGTTCAGAATTAATTTCTCTATCGAATGGTATGTAAATCGTCTGTCAAAATATGTATATACACCATCTAAAATGAATGATTCTTTGACCCATAGAATGTCCGATAGGGTCTATATGACTGAGTATCAAAAAGTAAGGGAAAAGCTTGGCCGATCAAGCTGAAACTTAAAGGAGTGACTACTGACTCTGAGTCCTATAACTGCTGAAAGTTTCATGTAAAATTGCTTATGTTTTCTATAGAGATCGATATCAAGGCAAAACGTCTCCATCCTCTTCTTGATAGCTTACTATTTTTTCTCCCTTTATTGTATATCACACTCTTGTTGTAAAGAACACTATATCTCACAGAAAAATTAAAAATTTATTCGTTTTCTTGTTCTGCACCGAACAAATAAATGAAAGTCTCGCAAGGCATCCATCTTGTAGAGAAAAAAATTCTCTATAAGCTTACATTTCCAGAAAAAAATTATATGTCTGCAAGCAATCACAAAGTTGAAGACAAAGAGTTTTCCTGTGAGCTGAGAAACGGAAAATTCGTTTCCTTACTCAAGCTTCAATATTAACTAGTGTCATAAAATGCATTACTAGTCATAATTTGCAATGCTCTTTCGAGTGGTGAATTTAAAGTTAAAAATTGGTATAGTGGAAAGTTTTCTAGTGGATGCTTTCTAGAAAACCACGTAGCTTCTAGAATTTTGAAGATTTAAGGTTGTCATCGGAAGGTTTTTATCTCAAAATGAGTTCAAAATTGAAGGAATTTGTTTTGCCTTTCTGATACTATGCATTAGAAGAAGTTTAAGTAGTAAGTCTGCCTGTAAGAGATTCAGAAAGCTAGTCCTATCAATAATTTTTGGTGTATGAAATGCAGATCTTTCAGTTGCAATCTTTCTACATCTTTGAAAGTATTTAAAAGCTTGAGTTTTGAAAGACTGGTACAACTTACTCGTGACTTTGGAATGGGGGAAAACCGAAATCTTTTATCAGATTCTGTTCCTAAATTATAAGCAACAATGAAACATCATAGCGCACACCATTACCAATAGTTTTTCGAGTGACTGTATTAGGCATGCACTGAGACTCATTGAATGCTATATTGTTTGTCGAACGACACTTTAGTCAACAGACTTTTCGTCGAAGTAACTTTGTTGAAAGTGAATGATTTTCTTCTTCTTATCTATCTCACTATCAGGTGACAAGTTCAAAAGTATCTCCTAATTAACTTTGTTCCTTTGGCGATGATGGAAGAATTTCAGGGCATCATTGAACAGAGTTACACGCTTTTCGTCGAAAAGCACTTCAAGGAAAGGTTTGTAGCTCCTCAAGACAATTTTTCGGATCCTTCAATTCTTTTATAGAACTGTTCAGAGTTAAGAGAACAATATTTTCTCTCACACTCACGTTTCTAGTGCTCTTGCCCTCACCTCCACATTTGGGGTACCCCTGCATAGCCCCCCTTACCCTCACCTTCATGCTCACTTCACCTTTACATTTGGAGTACTGTTCATAGCCAAGAAAATACTTTCGACGGAAAACAGATATCTATCTGAATTTATTGATGAAGCGCTTTGCCGACGAAGTGGCATATTGACGAAAATTGTTCGACCAACAACATAATTATCAGACTTATTAAAGGCTGATAATAATTAAAATTCTTTTCTAATACAAGTACTCATAAGAATATACGAGATTTTCATTGCAAATGGTTCAGTTTTGTCTGAGCTAGCTGTTAACACAATCGAACAAACCAATCTGAACAAAAAGAGCTCGAGTCTCGTTAAGTCTTGATAAACAATTTTAAAAAAAGATGAATATCGACCAAGACTAACCGAGACTCGGCTTCTTTTTGCTCGCATCGGTTCGTCTCGTTGTATGAATAGCTACCGGAGACAAAACTGAACAGTTTGTAATCAAAATCTCGTAGAGTCTCGAGAGTTCTTGTATCAGAGAAAAAAAGTAAATTTTTATCACCTACCATTGAATCTCTGTACATGACTAGGCTGTGCGTCTTAAGATCGGTCGTAATATTTTTGTCTGGTGATTGAAATGACTATATGTCCGAATGATCATTTTCTATAGCGTTAAAGTTATTTGTTTACTTTCAAGATTATTGATTTAAAAGTTAGACAACTGATCTGAATACGTGTGAATATTTATCAGACATGGTATCGCCCACAGAAATGATTCGGAAAGCATCGGCTCCGGATGAGTATATCTGGCAATATCAGACGTGTGCTGATCCATGGGATACAACACAAATACCTGAATGGAAACTTTATCCTGATGATACATCATCAGCCATCGAAAAAGCCTACAAACGTGGCGCCGAAGAGACATTTATTAATGAAATTTATCGTATTGATTTGAAACACTTTGTACAACAGCATATTGATGATGGGAGCCGACAACGACCCATTCGACGGCAACATCGTTTTCCTCCGCCTATTTCCAGTGACGTAGAGACCAGAAACGAATGTCGACGTCGTGAACGATTATCTTTTCCTTTGGGATTGGTTTCATCTCGTAATACAAGTGTAGATACAAATTTTCATGGTTCACCTTTTATTACCGATTGGTTATTGAAGTTCACCAAGGGAAAACTGAAAGTTACATTCGATTCTATCTTTCCTGTCCTTGTGCAAGGTTTGAAGCATGAAGGACATACTGCATCAGAAAATGTAGTGCAGGAGATCGTACAAAGTTTGAACATGGTTAAAGATGAAACTTTTGGGAAGAAAGACAAAAAGAGAGTAGAAAAGCTACAAGATTGTTGTGTTAAACTTTACACAAAAGACTGTTATATCTATCGTGTAGTTAATACTGCATTGCGCGACGATGATCGAACTAAACTGGACACTCTTGGACCTTACTGTTATCTCGTTTACAATAATATTGGTCGACGTCTTAAAGATTATCTTTCGATTCGTCATCGTCTTCGACAAGCTGTTCATCCAACAGAATCTCAATCGATGATAGTCTATCGTGGCGATCATATATCTCGTGAAATTATAGAAGAATATCGACAGGCAGCTGGAAACCATAACCAATATTTTAAATGGCTTTCATTCGTTTCGACTTCACTCAGTAGAGAGGTTGCCGAAAGCTTCGGATGCAATGTTTTGTATATTATTGAATTACAACGTCATTTGACTAACGATCAATTTACAAATTTACGGAGAACCAGTTTCATTGAAGACGAAGAAGAAATTCTATTACGACCAGGAATGAGATTTCGAGTGGACAAAGTGGAATTTGATGATTTGACAGGACGACAATTAGTTCACATTAAAATTGTCCCATCGTACGTATTCAATTTAAGATGACTAAACGGTTTTATTTGAAAAACAAAACATGAACACACAAAACCGATTTTAAATGATTTGAGAGCGTTGTATACATAGTAAGGTTTTTTGATAAGTAATCAATCAGTTCAAATCAATTTAAATAAAGTAAGATAATCGTATAGTTTTTACTATTGTCATAATGCAATTGTAAATCTCTCAAAAAATCATAACGACAAGATTTTCCTAAGTAATGCTCAATCTCTTACTTTGATGCAATGAAAGTCGTAAATCTTCTTGAGAATCTGAATAGATACATGTACTAAGCCATGAATTTTTTAAATTGATTATCCATCGACAAAAATCGATCACTTGATTTCGAAACTTTTATTTGGTTTACAACTGCGAGAAAAAATTAACGCGTTCAATTGTCTAAAACGATCTGAGTTACGTCTTCGAGAAACAAAAGAAGTACTTGAGAAATGAAGATACTCTTCACCATAATTCAAACCTTCCCAAGCAGACTATTTTAGCACCTTGATCTTCTATGGTTTTCGCGGCTACTGTCTGAGCTTGGAGTGATTAACACAGAAGATGATAGAAACAATTACTTGTTTTCTCGTTCTTCTCACTAACATTGTTTTTGTCAGCAGCTTTTTTCTGACATGAATTTGAAGGGTGTGAAGTGGGTGTGAGCGTGGGCGTGGGGTGTGGCTGTGGCTAAGGGTGTCAATTTACATTCAATTTTAACTTAATTTACGCGTAAATTAAATTATGAGTAGTTTACATTTATGATAAGTGTAAATTACTTATAATTTATATTTATTTTATATATAAATTTTTTACTTTTCGTAATTTATCGAATATAAATTAAAATGAATTATCATATTCCTGTAAGATACTTTACATAAGAAACATCTTAGTCTTAATATTATTCTTATGTATAATTCATTTGTTGTACTATCTTATCATTCAATTAATAGTTCTTAATTTATGAAAACATTTCGCTATTTATCATGATGAGTTTTTCAAAGAAGAGTCAAATTAGACTTTACGGACTAGAAACAGAAAACGCCGCAAAATATCAACGAAAAGCTTAAAATATTTTTTCCGCAAACTACACAGCGATTAAAAATCACATCTTATTTTTGATCAAATATAGTTAGGACTTTTAGATGCAACAGTGGGTTTTTGTTCTACATGGCAAAGTTTTATTCCAATCTAGCTAAGGGGCGAATTAATTCTCAGTTTCGACTATTTTCACGACTTTACTCTAGAGATAACGACAAACAAATATTTTTGACAACCATAAACTGATTTCAGATGAGGTAAATTAACAGTCTTCATCATTCTATCATGAAAAAATTCTCATTATTGTCTATGGAAATTTTCGCATTGATAAATTAATTCGAAATACGTACGAAGTAAACAGACAAGATGGATGTATAAACTGCCAGTTAATCTTATTGGTATCTTGATAGCTTTTTGAACAGCAAAACTGTTATAAATTTCCCATTTTATTGTCAAAATGGAAAACATATATATTGGTGAAGAAGATATGCGCTGTTGATTAACTACTATGATATGAATTTTCTATCTGATGTATATTTTCTTGCGAAATCAGCAATATGTACCAGAGATGAGCGGAGCGGCTAAAAAGGCGCTCCGCCACAGTGTACTAGATTTTTATCTGCCTCGCCATCGTGCAGCTTTGTATCGCATCGCCTGCCAATAACATATTTTTAGGAACCATGATTTTGTAGTCATCCCTCGTAAATACTTTTTTATTCCATGATATGACATTAAATAATTTCAGTACATATAAATAAGGAGCATGAGTCTGGATGCGAATGCGGGAGGGGTGTCCAAGGATTGAGAAACAGTAATTCCTCTTTAGTTTTCTTGCAGTTCAGTAAATATGAAAGCTAAAAATGTACGATATTCACGATACTTTTTGTTCTAATACTTATTTTCACCTGGAAGTGTGAAAGAAATAATTACATATACAGATTGTTTTAAAAAAAGCATTACTGTGACTTTCATGAATCGTGTGACTATGAGGCAATCAATGGTCAATATCAATTTCCCTGAAGAATTACCACAGTGACATTGACCATTCCTCGATAGATTAAGAATTTCTATTTTTCAGCCCTTGGATACTGTTGTCACCCGCGGAGGAAGTGAGCAATTCTCCAAATTTCGAGATATATGGCAGTGCTCTGGATAAAAATTTCGTAGTTTCAATGTACGGAGAAACTGCGAAATCTGGTGGTGTACCGTCACCATTTCGTCCGTTCATATCTGATATACACCACAAAATTCTCGTTAGTAATACAGTTTCTGCAATGAAAGTACTGATAGGTGCAATTTCGCTGGCCTTCAAATTATATATACACGGTGTTATAAAACCATTAGGGCCCACTCTACAACTTAAAGTATAAATGATATCATAAAGTATTTTATATCAAATTAATGCTCATCAAAAACTAAATTTATAAGTGTATTTAGAGCAATTATTATCTATGAAATTATTGTAATTGCTTAGATTACATGTCAAAATGAACTCGTACTTTCGATTATCATTCTTCATCTAGATATTTTCACAAAAAATAATAGCAGATTTGTGATCTCCATCAAAAAGTAAATCTATAGACATATGATTTGTATATTTTCGACAAAACAAAAACTTTGAAAAAATCATGCGACATACCGCAGACAAAAAGTCTTTTTTTTGAATCGAAACATCTCGATTTATATATCAGTGGACGTACTATTTGACGGAGATCACGAGTCTGTAAGTATTTCTGTTGATAAATGTAATAAAAAAGCAAAAATTGAAATATACGAGCTCATTTTTGCAAGAAACCATCCTTGATTTTATAGTATTGGGTCTATAAAAGAGCTACTATGGAATAGCTTCCAGGATTTTTTTCAAAAAGTTTTTTTCATCAAAATATACAAATTATATGTCTATAGATTTACTTTTTGATGGAGACCACAAATCTGCTATTATTTTTTGTGAAAATATCTACATGAAGAATGAAAATTGAAAAGTACGAGTTCCTTTTGACATGTAATCTAAGCAATTACAATAATTTCATAGATAATAGTTGCTCTAAATACACTTATAAATTTATTTTTTGATGAGCATTAATTTGATATAAAATACTTTATGATATCATTTATACTTTAAGTTGTAGAGTGGACAGTAATGGTTGCATAACAACCTGTACAACAGGATCTTAAAATGATGACTTCTGACTGCTATCCAATATTAAAATTTTCTAGTCTTATGAAAACCAATGAAGTTTTTCTATATGATAGTCTCAGTTTCTTTGGATAGGAGAAATTTTATAGTATTCATTTTTCTTTGTTATTGCAAAATGTTCAATTCTTATTGCTGTTATAAAGAGTCATAAATACTGCTGTCTAAGCTCGATCGTTCTTGGCATATTGAAAGCTGTAATGACTACAGATTTGAAGAAAGAGAAAAAGATTTTATAGTCTATATGATCATTACCATTTAACAGATTCTTTTTTTTAATCAAACAGCATCTTAAGTCTATTGTTGGCAAAGTTATAGCGTCAAGTGCATATTTTAAAGCTTCTTCTATCAAGACAAATTACAATAACTATAAAAGACGAATTCGACTGGTCTTCTTTTAAGATTAGAAAAGTGTGGTGCACGATAAAAGGCAAATGTCTTCGTTTCAATATCCAATTATAGAAGTAACTACTAGATAGGGTGTGGGTGTGGTTATCTCTTTTTGAAGACGTGCACCCACACTCACCCTTTGGAGATTTGCCCTTTGTAATTTTTATTGGTAAGTTTTTGTCCATTGAAATTTTACTTTTACAGAATTGTTTATTAATTTTTGAATTAGATAATAACTCTACTTTTTTTCCGTCTGAATCACACATGCACTTTTTGCTTGTTCTGTTTATGAAGAATGAAGAAAAGAATCGCTTTGGGTGTTTTCACTAGAGTTGCTAGATGAAAAACTTAAAAATCAGAATTTTTCTCCGAAATCGGAAACTAATCAGAAAGAGTAACTCTTTGTAAACCAAGGATTATCATGTTGATATACTTACACAAAAGGCTTCACTTTTTTTTGTTTATCAACTCATACTTTGCTTCCAAAAGTATTTCATAGTAAAGAAAAACAACACAACTATCATATAGCTTAGAGTAAAAGACCGTTTGCTATAAGCTAAGGAGATTGATCGCAGTCAGATAAAATAAATACTCACACTATCAAACCAACTAATCAAAAAAATGTGAACTGCCAATAGCGTACACAGAGAGAGATGTTTAAATTTTCAGATATTTATAGTTTGTTATGTGCCTACACTACAAAGTTTCATCAATGCTTAGTTTTCTTTTTTCGTCATGGTTGGATGAAGCAGAACCATTTACATAAGAAAAAACAATATCACGCATATTAAAAAGCAACTTCTATAAAGTCTGAGACAACATTTTTTTAATTATGAGGGTAATAAACAAAAAATTGTAATTGCTGTCAAATTGCTTTTGAATGTGTGTGGTATCACTTCTCCTTATGTAAATAGTCGTGTTCCATTCAACCATGACGAAAAAAGAAAACTAAAGATTGATGAAATTTCATAATGTGGGCACATGACAAACTGTAAATATCTCTGTCTGTGTACGCTATTGGCAGCTCATGTTTTAAACTAATCGATCTGTGAGTGAGAGCATTCATTTGATTCGATTATGACCAATCTTCTTAATTTGCCGTTGCATGACCTTCAATTGTTAGTTAATACAAAAAGAAAACTAGCAAAAGACACCAAGTGTCGGATTCTTTTATGAAGCCCAAAACTCTGTTTACGAAAAATATCCGAAACAAATCATATATATAAACAATGCAAATCAAAAAATCTTACGAAAAACAATAAAGGTTAGAGAACATAAATTCCATTTTTTTTTAAAGTTTTTCTTTATTCAAAATTCCTTCAACAAATGTTTCTGAGTTAAAATATGTTTACAAAATCCTACAAAACAAAAAAATAATTAGCATTCATTCTTAAGTTCAGCAACGCAAAAATTTACTGATATATTAAAGCTCTCGTCAGTGGCTATAGAACTCAGAAACTACAAAAGATTAAGAAAGGAAAGAAGGTTGTGAAATACGGATCTATAATATTAATGGATTATACTCGTCATTAATTTCGCTAGTAAGGCCACCATCTAAAAACGTTTGAAATTCGACAACAAATCAGAAGATGAGAAAAAAAAACGGAAAAATATTCAAATTTCAGAAATTTTCCTGACTTTAACGTAAAGATTAAAAAAATCAAAGAGAAGAGCAATAAGAGCACAGATCAAGAGAACACACACGAACATATATATGAGTAGATATATATACATATAGAGTGACGCATAGAAGAGGAAGGAAAAATCCAATGACATATATGTAGAAACATAAAGGAAAAAACCAAGATGTGAAATGACGTAGTTCGTAGAGAAAATGTCGATGTGTGCTGCACAAATACATATTTGAAGAATCCTCAACACAAACTTATGCATATTTTTTTACGTTATTAGTGCTTTGTTAGGTCAAAAAAGTTTTGGTCTATCAATAAAAACCTTGCCCATTTCGCCCATTAGTTTTTCTCGACACAAGAGAAGTTTGCCCATTGGTCTAAAATTCCTGATTACGCCGCTATAAAAGTATTCGGAATTTTTTGTAGTCAATCTTTGGTTTTTACTCGAATATATCTATACGATTTTTGTTCAGAATTAAATTCTCTATCGAATGGTATATAAATCGTCTGTCAAAGTATGCATATACACCATCTAAAATGAATGATTCTTTGATCCATAGAATGTCCAATAGGGTCTATATGACTGAGTATCAAAAAGTAAGGGAAAAACTTGACCAATCAAGCTGAAACTTATAGGAGTGACTACTGACTCTGAGCCCTATAATTGCTGAAAGTTTCATGTAAAACTGCTTATGTTTTTCTATAGGAGACCGATATCAAGGCAAAACGTCTCTCGTCCTTTTGAGTTTGATGCTTTACGGCATACTACTTACAGACTCGAATTCCTGGATCTCGAAAATTTTTCATCAAATATTATTTTCCAATTTTTGTGATAATTGTTCTGGGGCTTATTGAAACACTGGATATGCCCAGGATTAAAAATAATTCGGAAACCGATTTAGGGTTCCCATTATACCTTTCTGAGATTCAGAAAGTTTGAATGCCTCTTCGGATACCAAATGAACTTTTTCGGCTATATAGGTTTCCGAAAATACCAATTAGAGTTGCGAATATACCACAAGGGTATCCGAAAATACTTTGAGTGTGTCCAAATCGGTATTTTCAAAAAACGATTGGTTTCAAAGCCTTTGGAAACCAAGAAAGTGATTTCGTAAACGCTTCAGGAGACCAGAAACCCTATCGAAAATCTTTGAGAGTTTCCGAACGGTTTTGGATTTTCTATAAAACGGATTTTTTTTTAAGAATGTACAGCGTCCTAGAACTTATCAGACGAAAATGCTCAATTCTAATTTATAGTCACATCTGGCTGGATAATAGGCGTGTTGCACAAAAAAACTTTCTTAAGAGCCAGAGGACAGATCGATATGTTCAGCCGTTCCTAAAAAAGGTTTTTCATGCAACACACCTATTGTGTTATTTCTGATTGTAAATTGAAAATGAAAAGTCGCAACCATTAGTTCTAACCAGTTCAATCTGATGAAAACCATTTCTACTCAGGGTAACGAATTGTGAACATCTACTCAAACCACGCTCGAATGGCTCACTATCTTCAAAAGTAACTTAAGTACATCTACAGATACGGATGATTAGAAATACTCATTGATAAACTTTCAACTGATTGTTCTCTCTTACAAAAGATTTTTATATTGATATTAATAGGCCAGTTACTAGTGACTGATGATTTATGACTAACATAAAAAAGTCGATGTCAAATAGCGTCGTGACTGATATCGTTTTTTTTTTCTATATCACAATAATAAGCTTATTTGACAAGCAATTTACGAGTGCAATTACTATTGCCGAATTCATCATGTATTTCATAGTCATTCTTCAATCAATAAACGAGCGACGTGTGAAGCATGATATAATGTCACATCAATGAGTCACTTCTGTGAGTATGGAAAAAAGGAAGAGGCATGCAATATATATAAAGGTGAAAAGAGAGAAGGAGAATATTGACACTTTTACGAAGAACAGCCTTACATAAAAGACTCTGATCGCGATTGCAATGTCGATGGAAGTGAAACCGACGCCAGCAGTTATGGCGACGATAGTCACCGTCCCTGTTATCAGTCAAAACATTGAGCAACAATTCATAGCTACCGCTACTCGTCGCCTTGTTTGGAAGCTTGATCGAAGACTCATGCCTTTTCTTGTTCTTCTCGAGATTAGTTCATACGTCAATCGACTTAGTATCGGTATGTGTCTTTGAGTTGAATCATTCATTCATTCGTTGATGCTACTCTTTTAGGACACGCCAAATTGATGAACATTAAAGAAGAACTACCTATGTCATCATCTGCTATGAATTGGGCCATTTCACTATTTTATCTTGCCTATGTGAGAAAATGATGTAACTGGACTTCGAAATATTCTAATATATTTTTTCTTTCAGTTAATCTTTGAAATTCCAAGCACTCTACTTCTGCGCTTTTTGGGTCCGACTCGTTATCTGTCGTTGAGTTTGATTTTATGGGGTAGCGTCACTGTCGGTATGGCTTTCGTGAAAAATTCTCAACAACTGCTAATTGTTCGCTTTCTTCTCGTAAGTTAATTCAATCTTGACTGATAACAAAACACATATTGAAATTGTCATTGAAGGGCATGGTTCAATCTGGCTTTTTTACTGGCACTATCATTTATTTTTCATTGTGGTATTGCAAAAAAGAGCAGATTATGAGATTTTCTATTTTATTTGGAGCAGTCTGTACTGCCGGTGTTTTAGATGGCATTCTGGTACGTACTTGTGAATCTAATAAAAAAATACCTCATTTTTAATTGATCGAATCAACGATTGTCATTAATCTAGGCATATGGTATCCGTCATATGGAAGATATTGGCGGTCTGAAGAATTGGCGATGGTTGTTCTTACTTGAAGGCTTGCCGATCATTCCACTCGGTGTTATGACCTATCTTTTTCTTGGCAGTATACCCGATACTGTTCAATGTAAGAGTTAAAAGAAAAGTAGAAAATATTCTAAATTGTTTTGAAAATTTAGGGCTGGATAATTGTGAAAAACAGTTATTAACGAATCTTCTTCGAGAAGATGCGGGTATAGCCAACAGTGAGCCTACATCAACTGCTCGACTTTCGTGGCGGCAAGTGCGCCATGTATTTTTTGATTGGCGAATATATTTGTATGTTATGATTGCTATCTGCGATTTGGCCGTTTTCAAATGTCTGACAACGTATCTTCCGGAACTTGTCAAATCTATGAGTGATTCCAAAGAAGTACATTTAATGACAATACCACTTTATTTTATTGCATGTATATGTTGTTTGCTAGCGGGCTATTCATCATCACGTCGAAACGAACACAGTTTTCATCTTGCATTTTGTCTATCAATCGCGCTGGTTGGATTCATCTTAATGATTATTTTTTTTGATAAAGGCAACGTGGCAGTATATGTCAGTACTTGTGTTGCTTGTTGTGGTACAATCTCTGCATTCCCTCTACTACTCGCCTGGTTAACAAACAATGTCGGTGGTCATACAAAGAGAGCCATGGCTGTCGGTTTTCTTGTAGGCATCGGTCAGATTGGCGGAGTTTTAGCGCCTCAGGTAAAACTATTGCTTCTGAAAACTTGCAGAATAACATATTAAGCCAAACTTTAACATGTCAATCGAAATTTCATTTGACATTTAAACAATATTAATGGTGATGTTTTTGTTCCTAGGTGGTGTATCCTGATGATAGTGATAAGCTAGTATATCTACGCGGACATTTTATATGCGGTGGAATCATAGCCATCAGCTTGATTTTTACTTTTATTTTGCGCATCTGTTTACAGCGAGAAAATGACCGACGAATTCATTTATCACTGGACGAGTATAAATATGAAGCAGCTATCACAGAACCCTGTGATCGGGTCAGTTCATATCTGATTTTCTTATTTTTGAATGTTGTTTTCTCATTGTCTTTAGCATCCAGACATACGCTACAAGTGGTAGCACGGAAAAATTCCAGAACAGCGTCTTATTTCAAATACTTTATTTATTGTTTTAGTATAGGCATCTTGGAATGAAAAGAAACAGCAATTTATTATTCTTTTTTTATGAAATAAAGGGTCCTAATAAAAAAATTCATTTCTTTTCATATGTATGTTTTTCTGCTAGATGAAAAATTACAATAAAAAAAAGTGGAATACGAGATATGAGATAATATTAGTAATGATTAGTGTTTTTATTTGAGTGAACATTACGACAATTCTATGATGAATAATGAACAAAAATTTGACGTATCAGGTATTCAGGATAAACAACAAGATTCATCGCAGCCCTCACGACGAAATAAAACGATGGAGCAGTACCAAAAACGATTACGCTTTGATTGAGAACGGAAAAAATATGTTAGAAAAATTGAAAGTGTTGAACAAAGAAAATTTCGTCTGAAAACCATTCGAAGACGCATGTCTGAAAAACGTGTCAAAGTAACTGGCGATGAATATTGGATTCGGCTTTAATGAATGCATGAATATATTGCCAATAGTCGTACAAAGAAGATTGATAATAACAGATGTACGATACAAAAATCAAACATAAGAAAATGAAATAGAGCGACAATTACATCTTAGCAAGATTGGTATGACATCGAAAAAATGTTTGAAATTGAAAATACATTTCAGAGAAAATCTTTCAAAGACAAAAGAAAACATCCTCATATGGATGAATGTTTACATGACAATGATGAAATACAGATCGAACGTATAAAATTTTTAAAATAATCACCCACAACGATAGATAATTAAGTAAAGTATAATATCGGAATAAAATTGGAAGACGTGCAAACATTTTTTTATTAAAATAAGAAAAAGATATCGGTACTTCTCAGTCAAATGTAGAATCGCCGCAACAGATATCAAACCAAGTCAAAAACCAATTTCTAAACAACTTCATTAAGCTATCTCGATGAATTCTTTGCAATATGAAACCTGTTGTATATGTTACCATAATAGGTATGAAACTAATATCATAATGAGCAAAATCAGTGATATTTCCAATCAGTATTTGTCAGAGCCACATCCAGATCTAATAAATGTGATATCTGCGCTTCGAAATAAGTCATTGTTATGTTCGAATATACAAATATGTACATCAGAAACATATGATGGTGAGTAACACAATATTTTTATCTAGATAAAAAGAAAAGACTTCAAATAACAACCAATGAGCTTAATATCAGTTATGTTCGCTACCAAAATATATTACTAAGATTTCGTCAACTGACTCATTTAAAGACACATTCATTATATTGTATTTGTTTGTTCTGATACATTGAATAAAATGCTTCTCTGAAATTGAACTTGAATAAAATAAATTATTGAGAAGTTCAGCTCGTAGCTATGTCTATTATTTTCTTGATTTTCAGTTGTTGGTTGACTAATGTTTGTATCAAATGAAGTTTTGAAATAAAGGACATTTTTGATTTGATTCGATGTTGATGTTATTTCGGTTTTGTATTTAAAATTATTCTTAACTACAAGACTCGACCTCAAAAATATTTTTATCACAAGACTAAGCAGCACCTTTACCAAAAATATTGAAGTTCTTTCTGTAGATTAGAATAGAATTAAGATGTGATCTTTGTAAGTTAAAGTGAAGCTAGACAATGACCTCCATATTGTAAAGTAAGGCTGGAGTAAGAGAATATAATAAAACTCATGATCTTATAGAAATCTATTCCTCAGACTTATTAATATGGTTTGACGTCTTACGGGCAGAGTTATATCATGTCTCTCCGATCGTTCTTCTCTTTCTTTGTCTTCCATTGATTGTCTTTGGAATGACTCACCAACGTGTATCTTCTGCGTGGTCTATTTTTCTTCTTTCTTTTCTCTTTTTTGTTATTACATATGTGTTTTGAAATGACATAGTAATCAAATTTCTCTTTTCTTGAAGAATATTTTGTGCTTTTAGAATAAATAAAAATTTGATTTTTTCTCGTATTAGTTTGAGAAGAATTGATTTTAACTTTATATTCTTCATTTGTATTCCGATTTCTCTTAGTGGAACGTGTTATCATTATTTATATATTACTCTTTTAGATGAGTAATTGTTCCTATCAAACTTCTAATTGTAATCATTTATCATTTCATTGTCTTAGTGGTGAATTATTATGGGGTCAATTACATTGTATCTGTGAAGGTTATTACAATCGTCTCCATAATCAATATGATATTCCTCAATCTATACCTGAACCATTGAAAGGAGGAACAATATTACGGCGTTCATATCAATATCGATGTCGAGCTGCTAAAGGTGACTGGCAAGCTAAATTATATCGTACTCGATTGACTTTGAAATCTGAATCATTTAATTCAGGCTATATTATCTATAATATTCATCATAATCCAGTTGAAATATTACGACGTTGTGCTGCTGTTGGTAAATCTCTTCATCAATCCCACAATGATCTTAGTATTATATATATTAATAGATATGATTGGTCCGGGCATCATCATTATAAATTCGAATCTGAGATTAATCAATTATTAGGGATTGATAATAGCAATTCGGATGATGATTATTCATTGAAAAGGTTATTTGGTGGTCATGTAATGATTATTGATTCGAATTCAGCTATGAATATTATTCAACAACTGAAATCCAATCCTACTGTACTTGATCAATCTCCAGAAAAAGTATTTATTCAAATCCGTAATGAATCGAATAATCGAGTTGGATTACATTTATCAATTCCTAATACCGAATATGAATTCGCATGGTTAGTATTCAATAGTGATCAGCCTAATGCAGAGTTAATTGGAATAGTCTATGATGGAAGTTATACTCTGTTAGAAGGTCAAATTATACTCGATCAAGAAGATGTCGTCAGTTGGAATGAATACGAATCAAAGAGACAAGAACAAGCCCGTATCGAAGCCGATCTCTGGAAGAAATTTCAGTCTGATGCTGAACAGCAAGATGATGCTGATATTCGCACAATAATGAATAATCGTGGCAATAAGACTGTCGAACAATTAGCGAATGAATTTATTGCACAGGGATTTACATTTCATAATAGTACTGAAATAGTACTGAAATACAGTGAAGAGTATAAAGATTTTCAATCAGTCGTTGATACCATACAAAAAAAATTAGCGGAACGTACCAACAATAATAATTTATTCGGACAACCTGCCGGAATTACAGAAACATAGTCGCTGACGTTTGTCTCGGCTCCAGCAGCAATATCAGACACATCAACATCTTAAAATTGACTCATATATGTATGATTATTTTTGTGGTTGATTGATTATTGTAACGGTTAACTGATAAAGATTAATAAATTTCAGATATATCCTCAACTTTATAGACTGATTTTCAATATATGTCTAGATTGACATTAATCAGAGAGTTAGTTGTATTAATATTGAATAGGAGAGAATGAGAGCATTGAAATGGCGGGAATAAGAACTGATTCTTAAAAAAAACAAAAAGTGGGTATGGGTGTGGATGACGATGAACAAATGATATTACCCACACCACACGCCTTCGATTTGAGTGTGTTATCAACAGCACGCCCAGTCCACAAGCTCTTTATTATTATATTATAATCAAGAAAGATATCGAGAAGGTCTTAGTTCTCTCATTTCACTCCTCTCTCTTCATATGACAGAATTTAGCAGTCGTCCTCTACTTCCATTAAAATCCTGGTTACATCACCGTTCAGCATATACAATCATGACAATACAACATATACGCATTAAATAAACTAGATTTTCCTTTATGAAAAAAATATCCTATTATATTTGTATATATGCTAAAGCTATGACGAAATCATTTTCTTCACTTGATATATTATGAGATACAATAGAATCATAGAAAAATGGAAAGATATCTTTTTATTGAATGCAAATACGCGACAGATTTTACTCTTCCTGTTGACCAATAAAATCCAACACTCAGGGAATAAAGATGTGATAGTTCTTACTGTGGTTTCTTTGCCATCCTTCCTAAGATGAGTAACATTCATTTTAAATGAAAATATTTGATGATAAAGTGGAACGACACTTCTAGTATCATTTTTGTTTGAATTCCAAAGATGAATGGAATGGTTTATTGAAAAAGAAAATGTTTATTAGTTAATGATAGAAAATTAATCTTCACGAGTTAATAAAAAAAAGCGTTTAATGCGGAGATAAAATAAAATATAATAAAATGTCTTTTTATTTATTGATCTTTTTTGTCAGCATCATTATCATCATCATCTTTTGTTGATCTTTTTTTCTTTAATTGATCCTTCTTCTTATCTTGATTTGGTTTATCTTCATAAAGTTCTTTAATTTCATCTTTATATTTTTTATCAATTGCTTTTCGTTTTAATTTAAGTGCATCATTGACAAGGCCACTCTCAGGTGTCCAAGAATCTGTAACTATTTTAATCCTTTTTGGAATTTCAAAATTTTGAGTTCCATCTTTTCTACAAACATCTTTAACTTTTCGAAGTATATCATCATTAAAATCTTCATTGTCAGCTAATTTTTTCCAATCTTTTTCATGATAATATTTTTCTGCATATCTCTACACGAAAAAGATCCATATATTTAAAAATCTTGATTAAGTAATCTTACCATAGCTTCTTTTGAATTTGGGGCAATTAAAGCAACAACATGTTCTGATTTCGATGATGCACATACACAACAATTCTCAATAAATAATAATTTCTTCATGGACATTTCAACTTTTGCTAATGAGACATATTCTCCATTACGTATTTTAACTACATCTTTTTTTCGATCTAAAATTAACGGAAAAACAAAAGCTGTTCGTACAATTCCTGCAAAATCAAAATATGACACGAAACAGCTGCTGTCAATGTTATATTCAGATTTTTTCTTTTCAACGTCGTGAAACGAATTCAATAGAGAAGGAGAGGCAAAATCATTTTTCAAGAAGCTCCAGCTTCTAAGGTCGAAAAATTAATAACTGCTATGAGGCAAATTCATAATATCCATCCTGGTCTATGATATAGTTGACTTTAGAAGAATCTATCATGATTTACGATAGACCTAGACGAAGATTGAATTTTTAATTAGTACCGAAATTAAAAACTGTAGTTAAATTCTTTATGCTTTTTAATAAAATATGATATAATTCATCGGAGTCAAAGCAGAATTCGAAACGAGGTGACCAATGAAACTAATACTCGTCGATTAAACCAATAAAAAAGCAAAGTTTTCAACAGTATCTTTATATTCTCTTCAATTAATGTCTGTCATGTTTGTAACATTTCATGACAATGTTGATCAAGTCTGGAAACATCCAAATAGGTGTATCTTCGCTATTCTTTTTAATTTTTGTTTCACCAAATCAACTTACCGATAATCTTAAGTGTTCCATCAGAAAAAACTTCTCCAATATCACCAGTAAAAAAATATCTTGTTCCTTCTATTTCTTTAAAATTATCATTTTCTTTTGCTGCATCACCAAAATATGAATCAGCAACAATTTTTCCACCAATAAGAACTTCTCCTCGTGGATTTGGTTTATCGGTAGTTTTATAATGACCTTCATCCCAATCAATTAAACGAATTTCAGCTGAAATTATTGGATATCCTGCACGCTCAACTGCGATATCATAATCTAAATCATATTTAATAAATAAATAGGTGAAAAAAGAATGAATAAATAGTTACGATCAGCAATAGTTCCACCACCACATGTTTCCGTTAGACCATAACCTTGTAAAACTTGAACACAAAGTGCACATTGTGCAAAACGTTGAGTGTCTTCAGATAAAATAGCACCACCAGATATCACTGCTTTCACTCGACCACCAAGAGCCTTTTTATTAAAACGAGAAAACATCAATCTAAATATGTATATGTTCATTCTTCTAAATTAATAATAAAAAATGTTTACTGATCAAGTATTGGACTTTGAAGACCATATTCTAAACGTTTGAGTTTTATTGTATAAAGGAGATTAAATATCTGACGTAGAAAAAAGTTTGATTCTTTTATTTTTCCATAAACAGCTTGATATGTACGATCAAGAATGGTCTTAAACAAAATATAATTTAATAAACAAAACACTCAAATAAGATCTTCTTACCGGGACACAATTCATTAAATGTGGTCGGAGACTGTGTAAATCTCCTTTCTGACCTTTTTGTACAGCTGTTGACTGATCAGTTAATGTCTGAGGAGATCCATAGCCAGTTTTAATGCCCATATAAAACATAAGAGTTTCTATTTCAATATATAAATAATTTTCAATCTCAGTTAGATTTTTTTAAGAATAAACAAACCACAACAAAGCTCAAATATATGACCTAATGGTAGATAACATATGAAGATGTCATTGTCGACATCAATCAGTGGAGCAGCACGTTCTTTTTGTCCAGTTATTGCAGCAACAATATTCTCATGTCTTATGGATGCTCCTGTAAATAAGAATTATCTATTAAGTAAGCGAGATGAATCTGTTGAATTTTTTCGAAAAAAATTGGAAACTTCCAGTATATCGCAAGGATATTATTGTTAGATATGAATGCAATGAGTTTAAAACTTAATCATTGGTGATGGAATCATCATACCAGATTTTGTCGACAGAACCTTGATTACCATAAATTTTATGAACATCCATTTAATCAATACTAGTATATGACCGAGGGAATTAATCGGATCTGACTGTCAGATCCCATCGAATTCAACACTGCGAATCCTAATTTAGTCAAATTAATATTATGTCATTTTAGTTACCGTTCATAAGAGAAAAGGTGTTTGGTAGTATTAGGAAATATAAATCGCTCTAGAAATATGTTCATTCATCAATCTATTATTCTATTCGGACAATTGTAATTTGTGGTATTCTCTAAAAAAAAATCACTTTTCTCTTATGTTGACTTTCTCATTGATCAATTGATGTTGTAATTAGAGATTGAACACGAACTGGATGATCGTAAATTCTCTCATTTCTTTCAAATGGTTCATTAGCTGAGGACCTGTCAAAATAAGGGGGTTAATAATCTTCACAATATAGTTTGCTTCAATCAGTTCTATTCTTTTAGAAAAAAATTCTGTTCGATTCGGTCTTTCGTTGTAATCAATAAATTAGATTTCTAAATAAAAACAAAGTTTGATTATGATAATACTATAATATAAGTAAGTTGACGTTGCTTTTGTGAAATATATAGAAGTAACTAACCTTTTGGTGGTCCAGTACTTCCACTAGTATACATAATAACAGCAATATCTTCTTTCTTAGGTCGTTTTTTTAAAATTTCGTCATCTAAATTAATTAACAAAAAAACATGAAAGAAAAAATAGAAAATAAATGATTAACATACCAATATTTGCATTTTTCCCCTGTTCTTCAAATTTAGCTAATGGAATAAATTCAATATTGTTTTTCTCTAGTGGTGATTTAGCTGCTTCTTGTTTATTACGAGCAGGAAAATAAATAATGTGACGAACTTTATTTGTTTGATCTAAGACTTTCTAAATAGACAAATATATATTTTTTTATTTTGGAAAAGTTATTTTTACTTCAAGTTTAGGAAAAAGTTCTTGTGAAGTTATAATAGTTTGAACTTTTGTTTCATTAATTCCGTGTTTAACTCCTTCTTCATCTAGTGTTGGTATAAGTGTAACAACAGTTAAACTGTGTCGAAATGCCGCAAATGCACTTAATAACCATTCAGGACGTGTTTCAGAAAAAAGTAAAACTTTATCACCTGGTTTAACACCAATGGATAATAAACCACGACCAATTGCATCAATACGTGAACAAGCTTCTCGATATGTTGTAAATTTATATTCATCAAATGAAAACTAGAATTACTTTAAAATAGAATAATTCAAATTAAAATAAAAGTTAAAATAACCTTTTTGAAAACTTTTCCATTTGGTTGTTTTTCCTCGTTGACATCAGTAATTTCTCTGACGCCCATTGTTTCTTTGTCTGAATAGCGTTGTAAACATAAATCAGGAATATCAGCTAGAGTTTCAACTGCCACTTCTGGTTGATTTTGAAGTTCATCAAGTACTTCCAAAGCTCTATATGGTGATGACGGATCTGAATCATTGGTTAATTTTGCTCGAATTCTTGTTTGCTTTTCTTTTTTCTCGTCATGTTTTCCGAATGTAATCGTATAATAAAAAAATCCTGGTAATTGTATAAACAGAAGTATAATTAAATATTCAAATAATGCTTTTATTATTCTTCCGAAAAATCTCTTAAATATAAGATCTCTTATTGATCTTAATGCATGAATAAAATTATTCGAAGACATCTAAAATTAGGAAATTTATTTTTCTAAAGGATAATGTTTAAGCATACGTGAGTGAATCTCGAAATATTTTGTCGTATTTATTTTATGAGAAAAAAACGAACTAGAATCACCCCAACACGTGCGTCATAACGTGAGAAAGATTGAAGGACGAAAAGAAGAAAAAAGAAGAATATCGTATATCTTTCCACAGCATACAAATGATTCAAAGAACAGAACGAAAGAAAAAGAGTCCGGCAAAAGTAAGTTGTCTGTTTGCTTGCTTGTGCATTCCGGTCGTCAGAAGTAAACCAAACTCGAGTCCATCGTCCATGATTCACCCACTTCAATTATAACATAAAAGAATTTTCAACAGATGTCCCATATAATCGAACTGGTTTTTTTTGAAGTTGGGATGGGTGTGAGCACCGTTTAAAGGGTTTTAACGAATTATGACAAAACATGGACGCCATTATAGAGGCTCAAGAAACGAAATAAGATTGGTTTATTTATGGTACATATAGAAATTGTTTTATTGAGTGATGATTCATAGAAAAATAGTCAAAGCATCACTGTTTGAAAAGGGATACGAAAACAGAACTCTGAAGAGAATCTGAAACTGAAAGTCCGATTATATTTACTTCATCCGAAGAAATTTAAGAAAAAAGTTCTGAACAACGTACGAAAACTTGCATCAGTTGTGGAATACACATGAATAAAAGGGACTTTATAGTGTTTTTTTGTACAGTTCAGTTTGTTTTCAATTCTAACTTTTCTTTCGATGAACAGAAGCTTGTTGAAAAGTGATTTTTTCTTTTTTGTATAATGGACAGTGTTTTAAATTTTCTAGCTAGACTTTAATCCCGTCAGAGTGTTATGCTCATCGAACGCGTAATTTTTTCAGGCGCAACGGCAACTAAAGAACACTGAAAAATACCTTTCTATACTTAACTCTTTGAACGAAAATCAGAATAGATACTTATGGAGGCGAATGTCAAGATTTTTGCTACTGACAATGAATTTCTGTTTTGTTTTATGTATGATTTAAATTTCAGCAGATGACGAACTATTCTTTAATAATGTTCTTGATTTTTGTTTTTTCGTTTTAACAGGAACGCACAATCTTACTCTGTTAGTTCTCATTTGTACATTCGATAAGCAAAGTTTATTCAGTTATCTGAAGTTTACAATTTATTTTTAATAAAAACTGCAACAAATATTTCAACGTAAGCAAATAGATAGTAGAGGAAAATATGAAATGACCTTGAAGCAATACATTATGTATCAGAAAAAGACAAAAGTTAAACAATAATAAAAAACTCCTATATTTAGTTAAGCTTATCTGAGCCTTTAATGCTCTAACTTGAGCTTACAAAGCTTACCAATTTCTAGCGTAGGATAAGTTAAGCGTACTCGTTTTTAACCTATGGTAAGCTTGAGCCTCTTACGCCTAATGGCTCTACCACCTATGCTAGACTTAATAATACCAAGAATGTCATGCAGTATGGAGAAATCTTGAAGCAAGACTTGAGATCTTGTTGCAAACTGAGAAATATGAATGTCTAGTTTCACTGCTTAAACTTCTTACATTATCGCTTGAATTTCTTGCTGATGCGTGTATAATACGCTGGAATGCTGCATTTCTGTTTTCTTCTGATACTTTAGTTGTTTCTTCAACGTTGATGCCAATAATTCTCGATTGTTTCCATGTCAAAATTTTATTTACAATTTTCGAACTTAATGGTTTCAATGAGCGAAGTGCTTTCATGAAAATATTGGTTTTCTGTAAAGTTTGACCAAAAGTAAACATATCAGGAGGATCCGAATCCTAAATTAGTTTCTTAAAAGACTGTATTAAATCGTTCAATCTTCAAAAACATCTTATATATGTGAATCAAAATATAAGCATATAATTTTAAGAAATTGATTCTTTTTTTAAATTTGTCTTCCCTGATTCTTTTTTTGTAGAATATGTAGGAGGTCGATATTGTTCTGAAAAATACTTTGTTTGATTAAAAAGTCACTTTAAGAGATTATAAAGCTAAACTCCTTTTCATAATGGATGACGTTAAAAGTCTTTTATCAGTATAGATTACAGATCAACAGCCTGAAAAAAGTTCATTAAGGTAGAACATCAATTAAACATCACATGGATCGCAGATACTTTGCTATATTAAGAATTATTCATGTGACAATCGCTACATAACAGAAACATTACCATCAGTTCATTGAATTCATGAAATAAATGATTTTTCTTTTGCATGCTTAGTACTTTTAGCATTATTTGGTACTCATAAAAACCAGTGACATGGATGATGAATCTTTTTTATAGTTTTGTAAATAACATGAAATAAATAAATATGAACAATAATTTAATTGTTGTAGATCTTACTAGTGTTTATTCTCTACAATTATGTCGGCTGTCGAGGAGCCCTTACTAGGTTGGTAAATGATGAAGCTGATACATACTTTAATAGTGATTTTTTTTTAGAAAATAAAGGACTAAAGCGATGTCATCGTTGAACTCAATCAATTTTGACTTTGGTTTATTGGTGAGTGAAAGAAAGTACTACATTACATGCTGAAGCTCAAATAACAAAAGATGTTGATGTGTCGTGCGCATAATTATGTTCGTAAAAATCGGAAATATTTAGGTATAAAGACTCATACTGATAGTCCTTTATTCATAAATGAAGAACGAGTAACTTTTAATGGATTAGCATTATTGGCTGAAGACGAAGTGGACAATGTAATTATGGCTCATTATGGAACCCAATTTGGTTGTGGTACTCGAATTCTACATCAGTATTTGAGTAATGTTAATTTCTTCACTACTACACTATTATTAGCAAGTTTATTTCTTTTATAGATCAAATTTACTATAGAATATTAGAAGCAAGAATTGCTAAAGTAACTAAAGCAAGTAGCGCACATGGTCAAACACATGCAGTATTTTCGAATAAAGAACCAAGAAAGATCATACAAGCAAAAGAAGTATTTGAACGTCTTCAAGTTGATCTTGTTGATCTCTCTCGTCGATCGGTTTCCAAAAATGGTACCAATTTTCGATATGCTCTTGTTATTCTCGATATTTTCTTACAATATCTTTGCTCACACCCACTTAACAGCAAAAGTTCAAATATTGGTATTGGTCTTAAACGTGAGAGCATTAAAAATTCTTTTTATCTTATTGATAGTAAGGTTGAAGTACACTTTTATAAGGAAAAGTCCTTCAACAGGGTATGGGTGTGTGGATGAGATGTGGATGTTTCTCTGCTCCTAACACGTCCCACACCCATACTCACACCCACACCCTCGCAATCATCAAAGAGTGCAAAAGCAAGGTCGAAACGATCATCATAAGTAGCTTGGAACTCTAAAAATTCATCTATAAACACACCACAACTACACTGAACCCCACACCTCATATCGACTTGTTTGGCTATTTGGCAGTCACAGACCGTCATTTCTCATCGTTGGAGTATATTCATGACGATATTCGTCGATCATCAAGAAACGCGATCAGATTAATTTTCGAGGAATAAGCGAATGTTTACATAGGACATGCAATGCTTCTAAGTCGAGTTCTTACATGAACAGTTCTTTATTCAATTAACTTTCTAATTTATCACTCTTCTTCAGAAGAGGCTCAGTTAAGTCGAATATTATTGATTTCTCGCATTGAATACTATTAACTTCTTCACTAAGATTCATGTATTGATTCTGAAGCTTCGTAATATCATCGGTATTTCTCTTCTCAGGTCCGAAAATAAGCATGATAATCAAATATAGATCAACACAGATCACGACTATGACGATAGCTATTCCGTAGTTATAATTTTGTTTTTTAACACTAATATCTGACTTCGACAGAGGAAAATGTTCTGCAATAACAGACTCGAATGTCACTACAGGTGCAGAGATAAGAGTTCCAATTTCATAGACGGCGCCAATAACGAACGAGCGCAACTCCAACGGAGTTAATTCCATGAGATGGATGGGCAGAATACCGAGAGCACCTTCTGCACATATTTGTTCGAGACCTGCACCGATCATTATACTTGGATTTCGTGGAAGAACATAGGCTGGTATGAGAGCAGCACCAATAAGGAGAACAACAATAGTTGAAAGTCGCCGCCCAAAGAAACTTGAAAAGTAACCAATTAGTGCACCTCCAACAAAAGCACCACAGTTCGCAACACATACGACAATAGTGACGAGGCTATTCGAGAAATTGAGCTGAGTTCTTAGAAAATCTGGGTATAAATCTTGACTGCCATGCGCTAATACGTGAAGTCCGGCTACCAGTAATACGAGATAGATAATGAGAAGCCAGTTGTGAACAAGTGCTGGACAAATCGTACCAATAAAATTTCGTACTCCTGATATTCGACGGTTAGCGTCATCTAATATCAAAACATTCGTGTAAATAATGCATATCAACTAGAAGTGTCACATTAATATTAGTATTATAGTCGTCTTCATCAGCACTGAACTATTAGTATTAAATCAGCATTATCTTGAATTCTAATACATATGCTACCTCCTACTGTACATCTCAAACTTCATGTTCGAAATTTTTCTATAAAAGAACAAGTTTTTTTTTTTACACTCAGAAGCGGCATTTCGAAAATCGAAGAAAATTGTTTGATTTTCGAAACTTCTGAGGTTAGAGTAACCGAAATGTTTTCATCGGTAATCTATGTACTAGAATTAAAAGCAATGCTAATTTAATGCTAACAGCCTGATATTGATGAATTTTAATGCAAATAATGCCAAAGCATCAAGGTTAATTTTAATACTGATACCAAAGCATTAGTGTCAGTATTAATGAATGCTAATACTAATTTAGATATAACAATCTTAAGATCAACAGTAAAAAATATTTGCTACAGAATGCCAAAAAAGACCCCTTTTTATTGTAAAATAGTCTTCCATATCTTGAAATATGTCGAAGTAATCTTAATTCATAGAAAGCTGAAATGTTGTTATTGTGCAGCTGAATGGCAACTTCCTGATTTTCG